ACACTTCAAGTATAACAAACAGGAACAAAATTACTAAGCAATTAAAGAACAGAAAAGTAAATAACATAGAGGATTCACTTAACCAACATTAAAAAAATCCGATAGGGTCTAAACTTTATTCCTTTGAAGCCAAAAACCTACCCTCGATCAAATTACGACCCGCTATATCGAAATTAAAAACATCATGGAAACTAGGTGTTATAGAGCAATCCTTGCAGCACTCCAACTGACACCAAATTGAAGCTCTACGTCGATGGTGAAGTTTTCTCCGATTCGACCCTCTATCATAGTCTTGATGGTGCTCTTCAATATCTGGCTTTTGCTAACCTTGCTATTGTGTATGATGTACATCAGGTTTGTCTATTTATGCATGACCCGTGTATCCCATATTTTTAGCCCACGTGTATAGAAAAGTATCTTAAAAGTACCTTACTACACGATATTCATATTCTTTAGTCAGTTCATGATCATTTGGTTTCCTACTCTGACGTTGACAGGGTCGGTTGCCCTTTTATGTACAAGTCCCTATTTGGGTTTTGTGTCTATCTTGACGTTGACAGGGTCGGTTACCATCAATTTGAATCGTCATATGGAAGTTTACTTCATAATGGTTATACAAACAGGCCTAAAAATATAATATTTTACAACAAACCTCAATGCATATAACAAAATAGCCACATAAATGTGAGATATAAACATCTAAATAAAACTCTAAGTCTCATAAAGATAATAGGTAAGAATATATTATTGTAAACTCTTATTGTAATGTATTTTTAAAATATTCATACTAATTTTGTAGTGTATAAAGGGTAAGAATTTATTATATCGTTAAAAGATATATTACAATTATAAATCATGTTTAAGAAAGGGAAAACGACCTAAAATGGTAATATAGTTCTCATTCTGTACACGTTCAGTCCTTCTTCTTTTTTTGTAAAATAAGCCCTTGAACTTATTGTTTTTGTACACATTCAGTATGTATGACCGACTACTCCAATTTAAGATCTGAGTTTGTACACATTTAGTCATTAATGTTTTTCTTTTTACAAAATAAGTCCTTGTTGTTTTTGTACATATTCAGTCCTTATAATGGGGTTTTTTTCCAGGTTTTGCTCACGTGACATCCTACGTGAGACAATTATTAATAAGATGTTCCCATACGTGGCTCATCTGGTCAGTGGAATCATGTGTTACTTATCTTGGTTTTGTTAATATCATTGTACTTTTGATATTAGTAACTATTACAGTACAATACCAACTATATTTAATACGAACACAAACTTCATTCAATAGCAATACCAACCAATGTTTTAAAAACCGGTTTGAATCGGTTGGACCGGAAACCGGAAAAGGGAACGGTTCAACTATCACCAGTTTTATGTCTATTTTTGAACCAGAACGAACCGGCCAGTTTTTACAAAAACCTGGTTGAACCGGTTAAATTGAATAAAAACACATCGAAAATATCATTTTGCATAATAGTTTTTGTGGTTTTTTCACATCTATTTAGATTTCTTTAAATAAAAACATATGGTAAATGTTATGAAGTTTTTTGATGCGTTTGTATTCATCTAAAACTATATTTTGTTACTTTATTTTCTTTTTGATGTATGTAGATTGATGTAAAGCTTATGTTTATGTGTTATAATGCATTTGGATTGATCTACAACTTGTTTTTATATGTATTTTTAATGTATGAACTTGTGAACATCAAAATTTTGATTTATGTATGTATGTATGTATAAGAAATATGAAAAAAGATGAAAAATATAGAAACCGGTTGAACCGGGAAGCGGTCACCATACCGTTTCAACAAAAAAACCGGTTTTTAAAACATTGATACCAACTACATTATATTAGGTGAAGAAAATATATTAGTCATAATGATTTCAATTGTTGGAAATAGTGTCCACATTCACAACAGTTGGTAATACTACTATTAATAGCAAAGTCATTTTGGGCTGCAGGCAAGGACCGATTTAAGCAATTATTAACATGAGAGTTTATTGGGGATCTACTTTGTTAATTTATTAGTGATTAATAAATTAATAGAAGCTCGTGACACGTATCATTAGTCCTCGTGACAAAACCCTAATCGTTCTAGGTTTTAGTATTCTGCGATTCAAGGTGGTTGAGACAAGAAACCTCCTCTTTAACAGATGCAAGCTCATCTTCAATTTGAGAAGAACAAAAAACTCATTTGCTAAAAAATAGTCAAAATCGACATACCAAGGAATTAGGGAAAACTCTAAATGTTTTTTCAGAGTGTTATTTTGTCTTAGAAGTGCAAATATAAGTTGGGAGAAAGTAATTACAAACAGTGACGGAGCTTGAAGTTTTGATTTTTTTTTTTTTGGGGGGGGGGGGACAGCCCCCCTGGCCCTAAAGAAGCCCCGTCAATGATCACAAAGAATCTCATTATCTGCCATCGAGATAGATGAAACTGAAGTCGAAGACATCTTCTTCTTGGAGAAATTAGGGCACCAACATTATTTGACTGATTCGTTTATTAGGTTACTAATATAAGTGAGGGACGAGCTACGCATCATGATTGTCTCACGTAGGATGCCACGTGAGTAAAACCTAAAGAAACCGATCATAAGGACTGAATGTGTACAAAAACAATAATGACTTATTTTGCAACAAAAAACATTAAGGATTAAATGTGTACAAATTGAGAGCTTAACCTAAAATAGTCGATCATAACTTTGATGTAACATGTTATAAGAAGTGAATGTGTACAAAATAACCGGTTAAAGAACTTATTTTACAATATATATATAAAATAAAGATTATATTACCTTTTTACAATTTTTTTAGAAAACATGTATCAAATGCATATGGCATTTTGTAAGTTTTGTAAATATTGCTAAGATAATTGGCAAGAAACGGACAATGGATGAATATTTGTAGGGAAAATACCGCTAATAGACAAAAAAAAGGGGGCCAATTTCAAAATTTAGTTATAAAAAATGACTTTTCCACTTATAGACACGCATTCCGCGGAGGGCCCTCTGTGGACCTCCGGGGATCGATATTACCTCCGCGGAGAGGGGTATTTTTGTCATTTGCCCGTCTTATTTTTGACAAAATCGGACCCTCCTCTTTGGTCCCCCCACTGGTCCCCCGGTTCCTCTTTGACAAAGACGGTTCTCCGCATCGACTTACCACCGAAGATTCTGGCGACACCGAAGATTCCGGCGACCACGATAGCAAACGACGTCATTTTCCGATGTCCAAACCGGCGACCAGGACTTCGATTACGACGTCATTCCGGCAGTAATGGAGGACAATCTCCCTAATATTTTGAGCGACGGTTTAGGATCCCGGGTATTTCTCACATTCCTTTCTTTGGATTAATGTTGTATATGTATGAAATTTGTTGAAAACCGATTATATTAAACTGAATAAATAGGCAAAATTAAAAAATTTAGATAGCAAAAAATGGAGTTCGACAGGTGGGTTCCGGAATGGTGATGATCCATTCCGCGGAGGTGTATGTCTCTCCGCGGAGGGTTATATCAGTCCGCAGAGCACCCTCCGCGGAGTGAAGTATGCTGTTTAAAAAAGCGAATTTGGTCTATCCGCGGAGGTGTTGGTCTATCCGCAGAGCCTTCTCCGCGGAATGACCTAAAGCCTCCGCGGAATGACCTTAAACATAATTTCCTAATTTTTTTTCATGTCCTTTTATATTAAATTAAATTAAATTAAATCTTATGTTTTGCAGCATTTAGATCTCAATCAAAAAGCGGATTTAACTTTAAAAGGTGTGGTGGGTACTATCATTAAAGATTATTTTCCGCGGCTAACACAATCACAACGACAATTATTCGAAGCTTCGCCGTTTGGAATATTCTTAGGAATGCATATCCCACATGGTGATCTGTTACTTGTGCATTTGATGATGTTGCACGAAGTAAGGTCTCAAGAAGTATTTGAAATGGGGAGGTTTTTTTTTATATACAAGGGACGCATTTGGATTTTGGTGAAACGGAATATATTCTCATTTGTGGTTTAAAAGTTGGTCCTTATGTGGATTTACTCCACGATGAAAAAGGCCGGTCAAATTCAAGTCTTCGTGCTCGGTTGTTCCCAGACATTTCTGATGCGCGTATGCGGTTGAAAGATTTGGAAGACTTCATTATGTCTCCAAAATATTTGGCAGTTCAAGATGAAGATGTTGTGATTATTATCCAGCTTGTTTTTGTGTTGAAGGGACTCCACGGACGGGACGTTAAAACGTGCATTCCCGCTGCAATATACAAGCTTGCTGATAATAGAGATGATTGGAACAAGTATTACATTTAAATATTGTGTAAAAATAGAATACAATAATAATAACTATAATATACAATATGAAAATTGCAGGTTTGCATGGGGTACGTATTTTTGGAGGTATACTTCGCAGATGATGCGTGGAATGTTTAAGAAAATAGTAGAATTTAGACAATTCAAGGAGGCCAATCCCGAATCCAAGAAAATACACAAGTATACCGTTCCTGGTTTTATGCTGCCGTTTAAGGTTATTTTCTAATAAATTTAATTACTTATCATTGTTTTATTTTTATACGATAATAACATTGAACTTCGGTTTGTAGTATAAAATATAATAGCATGATACTTAAATTTTCTTTCTATAGATCTGGATTTTGGAGACGTTCCCCGAGGCAACCAAATTTTATGTACGCATCCCGACAGAATCTACGTCAATTGGACTCTTAACCATGAAGAGTCTCCTCCACCGCAACATAGTCCGGTCCGAAATAGTCCACCTGTTGTTGCCTCGCCTCCTCGAAGAACTATGTACAAGTCGGATACATGTTCGACTGAATCTGCCACAAATGCTTCTTCCTCGCAACATCCTGAAATAGAAACAACTTATACGTCAAGCGACACATCAACGAGGGTCGTAAAGAAGAAGAAGAGTAGCACAAAGGCATTAGTGAAGCGTCTACTAGGCGTTGTGGCTGAGTTATCATCTAAAGTAGATCGTGTATTACATGGATGAGCCAAACAAACGGTTTGTAGAGGAGGAGGAGATGATAAATGAAGAGGATGAAGAACCATATTACCATGATACACAGTTCGACTATGGTGGTTTGGAGGAGAAAGTTGCGCCTACACCTACGCATGGTGAGCCGTCACAAGACATGGGTGAACATGACACAAAAATAGTGACTCCTATTGGTAGGCCGCAACGAAAGAGGGCTGTTGCATGGTATCAGCGGACTTCGTTCACAGTGGTAAAAAACTCATATTTTAAATTTGGTATATTTCTAAAATATTACATTATTGACATGTTGATTTTTTAGATGCAATTGACAGCAAAATTGAAGAAAATCAGCAAGACAAGGAAGGAATCTCCCAATCACACGGTTCTGGAAGGGGGTAAACCGGCTCCTCATACGTACTCCGGTACATTTCCATTTGTAAGCATCTATAGCCAAATGTCCGAAGTTAGTTTTTTTCAAGTGCTTTAAGACCATTATGACATGACCACAAGGCAACCCAGTTCCTTCCTAATATTTGCATGTACAAGTCTCTTGCCTCAGATCAACTATGCCACCATGTTTGAAATCATACACTTGATATATTGCATCTGAAACACCAGAAACGGACCATCCTGTCGTACGCTCTTCATTTTTACTAACTACTTTTTCAGCCCACTCGGTTAGCACTGTTGAACGTTTCCCTGTAAAGAATATATATATATAATTAAATTATTATTAGAGATAATTAAAGTCTAAATTAATTTCATACCTCCATCGATGCGACACTTGTTACACCATTCCTGAGAAAGACGACGGAAGAACTCAAGAAGGGGTATTATAGGCATCTTCCTTGCATCTACAGATAAAGCGTTCATGGACTCTGCACTGTTGGAGGTCATGTAATCATACCGTTTCAACGGGGAATATGCTCTAGTCCATTTAGCACGCGGAATTTCACTTAGATACGCCGCTACTTGCGGCCTAGTAGACCACAAATCTAGACTACAAGCCTCCAAAACAACACTTTTGTTTTGTCATTTTTCCCAAACTTGTGTACTATGTTTCCTAGTAGATGAAAAGCACACACGCCATGATGAGCTTGAGGGAAGACATTTTCAATACTAACCCGAATTGCATCGGCCCGATCAGTTACAAAAGTCAATTCTTGACAATCACCAACACATTCATACAACTTTTCAAGAAACCATGTCCAAGTAAGACCACTCTCTTTTTTACATATTCTGTGCGCAAGGGGCACTATCTGGTTGTTCCCATCCATAGCTACTGCATGCAATATGGTTCCCTTAAAATCACCCTTCAAATGCGCACCATCCATAATTATAACTTTACGACAAAAACGTTTGAACGCTCGTATCTGCAACATATTAAAATGGAACACATAAACACTCTACAATTTTTTTACAAATAATTATATATTAAATAACAAGTTTTTGTATTTATTTACCGTGCTCCCAATGGCATAAAAACAACACTCGAAACAATCTTCAGAATCTGTTTGTATATACGCCACTGTACCGGGATTATGCCTCTTCAAATTGTGAAAATAGATAGGAAGTTTGGAAAAACATTCTTCAGAGGATCCCAACAACAATTCCATAGCATATTGTTTTGCACGCCAAGCTTGTTTGTAATTTACATTAATTTCCAGCAAAGCATTCAAATCCCTTGATATTTCATTAGGCCTCCAAACCTTGGAACGATTTTTTCCCATAATCTCATGCAATATAGTACCCATGACTTTTTTATTAGCATGCTTATGATTAGGGTGTATCTGTAATGACGAACATGTGTGCACGTTGTTGAAACTCCTGATTTCAAATTCATCAGTGGGAACAATGCGTTTTGCATATAAACGCCAACTACAGTTCTCAATTTCACAATATACCTCATAACGATTTTTGTTAGAATGTTTGGTCTTAAACTGAAACTTTTCTCTGGTAGCTTTAAGACTCAAAGCAAATATTAGTTGTTGTTTGTTATCATACGTTTGACGAACAAACATATCATCATTTGGACCTAAACTATGAAATGGTCCGGGTTCAACAATAGGATCAGGACAATCAGGTATGGGAGGCATACCGTAAAATATGTCTGAAGCTTTTTTCCCGTGTGTGAACTCATCTTCTGACCAGCCTTCATTTGACTATTCACCATCTGACAAAGTTTTGTCATCCAGTCTTCCAAACTCATATAAATTTTCTTCTTCCACTGTATTCACTGCAACAGTTTCTTGTTTTGGACACTCTTCAACATTATCAGATACAATGTTTTCAACATTATCAGATACAATGTTTTCAACATTGTATGGTACAATCTTCTCAACCGCTTCTGTCGGTTCGACCCATCCCTCAAACACCTCCAAATACAAATGCACAATCTCCTTCGTTTCAGAAATTACATTTCTGAGTTGATGAACATCTGTTTCGTCTACAATATTCATAACATACCCATGAACCGGGTGTTGAAATGGCAATGATATATTACTATGGAGCAAATTAGCCTTACTTTTGACCAAATCAAACAATATTCGACGATCAAAGTTTGGCGGAAGCAGTATACCTAAGTTGTTAAACTTAGGTCTAACGTAGGTGTTAACCCCATTACTTATCTGCCAAAAACCCCCGGTACATAGAATAACAAAACTCATCTTTCTTTTGGAAAATAAATTAGTAACACTAGACAAATTTGATCGCAAATGGAGATAAGAAAATGAAAAAACAACATTTGTATCAAAAAATCCGTCAAAAAACGTTCCAACCATTCATTCCGCGGAGTCATTAATCTCTCCGCGGAGCTCCTCGCCACTGGCTCTGCGGAGGGATTAAAACCCCAGCCAACCATCCCCTCCGCGGAGGGGTTAATGTCTCCGCAGAGGACCCCGCGGAGCAATTTTGTAAACAATAAAAAATTGTCACTTTATTAGATTCCGCGGTGGAAATAACGCTCCGCGGAGGTCCGCAGAGGGTCCTCCGCGGAATGCGTGTCTATAGCCGAAAAAGTCATTTTTTATGACTAAATTTTTTATTTTTATTTTTTTATTTTTTTTCTTCGTCTATTAACGGTATTATTTTGATGGGTCCTCACTCCTCAGTGGTCCCCGCCGCTACTAAAAGAAAACAAGAAGGGTATGGCCCAATTTGTTGATAGACTCTGCCACTCGCCTACGCATGTTATCTGAATCCGGATAATGATTCAGATTTCAGAAAACAATTTGTTCTTAATGAACAACTTCATTCATCTTCCCCATTAAAGCCTCTGAAAAACCCTAGTCTTGACTGAATTCATCAACAATGGCTGCATTTTATGCGTCTCCAACTCCAACCTTACAAATAACAAACAACCATGTACCCCAATCATGTCCCTTGTCTTCTTCATCATCACTCTCTTTTTCATCAAACAAATCCAGTTTCTTCAACTCATCTTCACCATGTTTCAAGATCTTCGTTCATTCTCTGCCCAAAAACAGCATCACAAAACAAACCCCTTCTCTAATTCGAATGTCATGGGATGGCCCTCTCTCCTCCGTGAAATTGATCCTCCAAGGCAAAAATCTTGAGGTAATGTTTGGGTTTATCATCTGTTCATACTGATTTCTTAAAATCTGAAACAATTTGATGATTTGTGTATGAAACAGTTGTCGGAATCTGTGAAGACTCACGTCGAGGATAAGGTGGGAAAGGCCATTCAAAAGCACAGCCATCTTGTTCGCGAAGTAGATGTTAGGGTTTCTGTTCGGGGTGGAGAATTTGGAAAAGGCCCAAAAGTTCGTCGAACAGAGGTCTGCATCTTACGACCATAAATTCAACTTAAATCGTTGAATTCGAGTCGTTTTCTGATGAATTTGCTTCTGTTACACAGGTTACATTGTTTACCAAGAAGCATGGCGTCATCCGGGCAGAAGAAGAAGCAGAAACTACATACGCAAGCATCGATACAGTTTCTTCAGTCATACAACGGAAGCTAAGGAAGATTAAGGAGAAAGATTCAGATCATGGCAGACACATGAAGGGATTCGATAGGCTCAAGGTAAGAGACCCACAGATACTCATCGATCAGGATTCCCTTGCGGTTACTCAAGAAGAAGAAGAGGAAGAAGTAGAAGATTCAAGTGAAACCGATGAGGTTAGGGTTTACATCGCATTTGAATTATATTCATACCTCTATATGTGAAGCTAAATTCGAAATTTTTTGCTCAGATCGTTCGCACAAAATATTTCGAAATGCCCCCTTTGACTGTATCAGAAGCAATTGAGCAACTAGAGAATGTTGATCATGACTTTTATGGCTTCCGAAATGAAGAAACTGGTAAGAATTTGTGGCGTTTTTTATTACTCTTTGTTTGAGATTGTATTGATTTGGATGATTTGGTTTTAGGTGAGATTAATATCTTGTACAAAAGAAAATCTGGAGGGTATGGGATCATAGTTCCAAAAGAAAACGGCGAAACTGAGGAATTAGAGGATGTGGATGCAGAAATTCTCAGGCAACTCTAGTTTGCAGAAAAAGGTGGGAGAATGAAGAAGATGATGAATCTTATGTAGATGTTTGAGCTGGGTGTTCCAGTTTTCAATATAGGGTAATGTTTGAGGATATACATGTCCAGAATCCAGATGTGTGTAGTTTCTTTGAAACGATGTGTAATCTAATCTCCACAAAGTAAATACAGGTTATTTTTGTTCTTCCTTGCATTGACATGTGCTCAATAGCTTGTTAATTGACATGGTATTTAGTGAGATATTTAGGCTACAGGGGAGTGATGGTGAGTTAACATCATGTCGCATAAACGTTTTTGAGATTTTTTGAAGCCACGTAAGGTTAGCGTGTCACTTTGTAAAAGTTGGGGAGTGGTGGTGATAACATTTAAATTGGTTTGATTTTGGAAAAAAAAGATCACATGCTCTCTTTCCCTTTCTCTCTTCTCGCTAGCATCTCAATGACCTTTCTTGGCGAGAGCCACGAGGAGGTGTATAGCTAGCCTTAGCGCCAAAGTGCATCCCTTAGCAATTAGCACACCCCACTCCCCATAACCTTTTGGGATTTCGTCTTTTCATCAAAGTTATCTGTATGTCGGGAAAAGCCGAGTGATGTGTATCTTAGAATTGTGTTAAACCATTATTGAAATGAATCATAAGAACAAACCCTGGTTTTAAGGTAGAAAGAAGCCACCTCAAAAGAGGCCATAGTCAACTCTTTCGTTTTTGATTGTAGAGAAATAAGATTAAATTAACTATCACGTTCATTGGTGACTCCGGATGGGAGGTCTCAAGTTCAAACATTAAGGTTTTCAATTAAGGGATGGTAAGGAGATAGATGCATGATGGTGAAAGGAGGGGATATTTAGTATCCTCACAAAAAGCCAGTCTTCTTCCCCAAACCTTGC